TGCAGCAAATGAATGCAGCTACCCCAGTTTTGACAAATGTTTATCCTTCTGCTTGATTAAAGAAGGATTACTAAAAATAATTTTAAGATTAGCTACTGGGTCTTGTGAAAATGATAGGATGCTCTGATAGTTTCCTGGATATTTTGTGTTTTGCTGGCAGACATATTGAAAGCTCTGCTTGCTCACTGAAGTGCTCCCTGAAGAGCCTGACCTACAGGTACTAGAAGAAATTAAATCCATGAATATTTCAGTGCTTTGAACAACATTCAACTCTTTCTTGGCAGATGATAATTTACAATTGCGTGAGCAAGAGTTTAGAGTGACAAAACATGCCAGTGCTTAGACATAGGCCCATGTCCTGATGAGCTGGTCTTCTGCATCTGGCATGGCAGCAGGCCATGAGAGATGATTGGCAGAACTCACGTAGAATGCCAGATATACGCAGGAACACAGGTAACACTACCTTGAAAAACCTAGAAGCCAAATCTAGGCTGCCTCTGTAGTCAGAGGAGAGGATCAAGCACCGAGCAGGATGTGTCTCACTGAGCTCTGAGCTGCCAGACTCATGCTGGGGCTCAAACAAGGAGGCCGTTCACGTTTTAGACAGTCCAGTGAGAGTGGAGGAATCCCATCTCAGGGCACGTTGGCAGGCAGGTGGCTGGGTTTTGCAGTCAGAGACATCTGTGTCTGTGTGGAAATCACCTTGCATGCAGAATCAGACCTGGTTGCTCTTGAAATGACTTAAATTAATCTGTTGTTAGGCCTTGTGTGGGCCAGGCCTGCATTCCTTGTGCAGCCGTAACTCCTGGTACTGCTGGGGGGGGGGTGTGGGGGAAGGGGGGAAGGAAAGTAGACTTAGGGTCTTAAAAAATTCATAAAATTGAAATAAAAGAGACAGCCCAAAGTCTTAATTCCGTGACATACGCTGATCAAACGCCTCCTCCAGGATTTGCAGTGTATTAGTACTTCCTAGTTTGATTTTAATTAGGAAATACACAACCTGTCTTACAGCATAAAGGACAATGTCATGCTGATGTACAATGTCTGGTGTCAGATGCTTGGTTACCCTACAACCTGAAGGACATACTGCATTTATACGGTGACTTACTGAGCTAGATTTTAATTTTTTCTTGTTGTGAACCTTTTAACCTCTTTTTCTCCAACACCAGCAACTGTACAATAGTCTGGCTGAAGCCCTACATGCTTTTTTTGGTAACACAAATAATAAAACAAGTACAAGCAATTGTCCCCAGGACTCAAATGAATTCTCATGTAAAAGTGTCACTTTGCAAATGTAAATAGCTCAGGCTTCAAAAAACCCCCACAGAAACTGGCAGATCATTTTTCTGTTGCAGGTATCTTCCATTATTTTGTTACCACTAGGGGAAAAAAGCAGCTTCTAACAATTTCAGTCTGTACCCTGGCTGTATCAACTGGGATTCTTCAGGAATTTGAGAGCTCAGTCCAATGGTTACTTTTTATGTACACAAATCGTTCTGTTGAGTTTAATAAAACTCCTTGCATGAGTCATGGTACTCATGAGCAAGTATTTACAGGATCAGTAGTATGGCTACAATAGAGAATTAAAAATTAATCCATTCAAGAGTTTTCTAGAAAAAACAAAGCACCAAATCAGATAATTTGGTTCTTGTGTTGGGTGAACCAACTAATGTGCTTAAGTTACTGAGATTCCTAACAGTGTGGAGCCTCAGATGCCTCCTGCCATGTCGCCAACATTAGATGCAGTGTGCTGTAAAACACTGATGCTATTTGAAGAGTGAAGTGACTAGTTCCTCCCCTCCAGAAGGGATACATATCCTCACAGGATCTTTTTTCTCGTAATATGTTTTTCAGTAAAATGTTCTCAATTTTGTAACCAGTTGGGAAGAAAGAGCATTTCACAATGTTCATAAGGCTTGTAGATGTTTTGACCAGACGTAAGATTTCCTATTGATAGTATTAAATGCTTTGGAATGAAATGTTTTGGGTTTTCCATCTGTAGGCTGTCTGAGATGTCAGCAGCCAATATGACCTGCTCTTTCCCTTTTAGGTTTATAAATAAAAGGCAGCTTGTTTAACTGATCTTGCAGCATGGAGCAGAGGTGTATATTAATGAGCTTTCTCTAATGGCACACTGGACCTATTTAGCACTACAACTGTGAAGGCTTCTCTTTTTCAGTCATAACTAATTTCCTAAGAAAACGTCAGTTACTGCTTTACCTTATGGTCTGAGCTGTTTAGTTTAGAGTTTATTTCTTCTAATCTGTACCACTGACAGATATTGTAGACATGACTGTGATTAAATACACTTATGAAAATGGTAAACATTTGATAATATAAATCCTCTTGGGAATATGCTGTTATTGCTGCATGGCAGCATTCTCAGGTGCATTCAAAGTATAATGTGGAAGCAAAGAAAAAACATTTTAAGCCATTATAATTATTAGATTAAACTGTTTTGCTAGGAAAATATCGATGTGTTTAGATCACTGTGGGATAATTTAGTTTTCATAAATATGCTTTTTAAATGCACTCTAGTGAGGTTTAGTGTAAAATAAAGATAGTGTAGGTATGTCCATATGGTAGTGAACTTAGTCCCATAAGTTTCTACAACATATTTTTTCCTGGTAGAAACCCTATCCTAAAAGCAGCAGTAGTTATAAAATCCAAGCAATGATTCATGCTATTTAATGTAATCATGTGGCATTGTTTTGTGTCTGTGCAGGCAGTGTCTGAAGCACACATTAACAACCTCCCAGCAAAGACAAAAGTAGTAATTGCAATATAATTATTATTTTTATTGATGACTTTGTTTAAGAGCTCTGTTGACATTTACAGACTTTGAGGATCACGCAGCGTTTCTTACAGTTATTCCAGGCATCAAACGTCAACAAAATGTTTAAGATTGTAGGATTAAGCATTGACAGATTGGGGCCAGATGTCTGGGAGATACTCTAAGTGGCCTTCTCAGTTGATCAAATAGCTCTTTCCAATCTAAAGCCCTTTGGAAATGGAATATTTGTTCTTTGTAGTTGAAGCTAAGACACTTCTGGGATTGATGGATCTTCCTGGACGTTATTTGAGGAGGAGAATGAGCACCCCATTTATCCAGGAGCAGTTTTATTTGATACATATATACATCGAATACGCTCCAAGTAGCAAGGGTCGGCGGAAGGGTTAAAAGTGTTGGTGAGCAGCAATGAAGCCCAAGAATTACCTGACAAAGTCATCCTAGCAGAGGTTCCTCAGCCACACAGTTGAAGTTATCCTGTTCCTGTACAACTGTACTGGTGAGACACTTCCACTTCTGGAAAATTTGGTCTCAGCAGTGCTGTCTCCACCTTTGGATTTGTAAGGAAAAACTGCAAGGGATACAGTCAGTAGATCGAGCAAGAAGTAACAGAGCTCAAATAGGTTTTCCTGGAGTCCTTCAAAGTAGAGACCTTTCTGCAGCTCTCAGTGAATTGCGTGTTAGTACCAAAAAAAGGTTGTTGATAATGGTAGAAGTATAAATCCCATTTGAATGTTGCTGCTTACATTGTAGCTCTGAGCATTTATGTTAGGGCCTGTTCCTTTTCTCCCTGAAGTCTTGATCCAGCATCCAGCAAACTCTGAAACTTATGTACTTTCATGTGTTTTAAATTAAACTTGTGTTTAGATGTTTTAGGACATTTGCCATTGGCATTTTTGCTACTGACATCAATGAGAATGGAGCTGGGCCTTTAATTAGTTTGGATTATTCTGCATACTTTCCTACTTTGCATTAGGCTGCAGATATGGAGCTGAAGACTGGTAATCCATTAGAAAAACATTCTGAGGCTCAAGATCCTCCATTCATGACTGATTAGCTGAGAAATCACTTCTGTGACCTAACGGGTCTTCCACGCCTGAGAAAACATGGAGACAAGAAGATCAGGTTGTGGAGTGTCACTGTAGTGATTCTGGTGCCAACGGGGTATAAAGTGTCCTAAGGGCCCTGTAACCAGGGACATTGCTGTATAATGTCCTCCTGGGCTGGGTTTATTGATGCCTGTATGTGAGAACCAGAAACTTTAGAGGGGTGAGTGGAGTACATAGAAGGAACTCATGACAGTCAGGGGAGAGTCTGCTCAGGTAGGGCGGAAGGAACAGCACACAACAGTTGAAAGAAAAAACTTGGTCTTGTTGCTCACCTGGGATTCAGGTTAGTTCCCAAAGTCCATCTTAGAGTCAGTGCCTCCACTATGTCAACTTGAGTCTGTAACACCAGAACGTAACAGTGAGCAATGCAAAACACCCTTCCCTTGGCCTAGCAGCTGGAAATTTAAATTATTTATTTGTTCTGATTTAATTTGAAACAGTGACTTTTGTTATGGATGCTATGCAGCATTTTATTACTGAGTTCTCTAATGAAACGGGTGCTTAAGAAGTCAGAATTGCTCAGGTTACTGGCTGTATAAATGCTGAGAACAGATCTGAATGATAGGGCTAGTAAAGAAAAGGGTGCAGAATAACAGCAGAGTTCCTTTGGATTGCTCTTCAAATGGATCAGGTCTTCCTGTAATAGTCCATGCTCATCTGCTCCCATGGATAGTATTTCAGATATCTGAAACCAGGTTCTTACCCTCCACAAATAGCTTCTCTTACTCTCTGTCTGTAGCAGCTAATTGTTACTGCCCACAGTGGTTCCTGTGCCAATTAACATCTAAGAGGACTCATCAGAAAACTTATTCTTTCTTTACATTTTCTGTTCGGACACGATGTCTTTAAGCATTCAGTACTTCAGACAGAACATGTGAGATATTTATAACCCTTGTATTATTACTGAGCTACACACCATGTCTTCAGTGACAGATTAAATGAGCAGCACAAAATGTTGTGTTTCATCCATAAATTTCAACAGATGTTTGAATGTTGGTTGATTTATTGCATATCCAACTTGGATCTTACACTGTTCTCATTGTGGCTGCACGTGGTTTATTTAATAGTACTTTACAACAATTTTTTATGACATTTTTCAGTTTGAAGGGTGCAACAAGGCATTTTCTAGGCTTGAGAACCTCAAGATTCACCTCCGGAGTCACACTGGGGAGAAGCCATACCTGTGCCAGCATCCTGGCTGCCAGAAGGCTTTCAGCAACTCCAGCGACCGGGCCAAGCACCAGCGAACACACCTGGATACCGTAAGCATGATTCCCTACTGGGAGTTGCACTGAGTTTTCCTGTGGTCCTTGTACACAATCTGTTCTGCAGCCAGAGGGTGACTTTTCCTTTTCAAAGGAGCATCTCAGAAATCTCAGCTATAGGCAACTCTACTTTTGTTTTGAATTATATGTGCATCGAGAAATTGAGAAGGGAGTCGATCCCAGACAGGCAAGTTCATCTGCCTTACTCATGCTGAGAAATGAGTTACTCAAGAATAGGTTACTCAGGAATAAGTTACTCAGCAAACTCTCTCATTGTTCATGTTCCAGTAAGAGGAGGCAGCAGGACAATAAGGTATAGTGTGAGCAAAAGCTGAGTCACTGCTGCTGTTCTAAATGTGTGTCATTGTCTTGCTTCCTCTCCTGTGGTGTTTCAGTAGTCTATTCTGAATGAATGCAAAAGCAGTTCAGACATCTCAGTGGAAGGTAAATGCATCGTAGTTTTGAATGTAATTTTGTAAAGGTAAAAATACATGTTTTAGAACTATATGAAATGTGTTACATACCCACCATCAGCATTAACTGTAAACACCAAATTCTTACGTACAGCTGGTAGACTCAGGCTCAGCTCTACAAGTCTCCTCACGAGTCTCACAGATAAGGTGGGAGCTTGTCTAGTGTCTTAGGCTCTGATAAAATTTAATCACCATATTATGGGGAAAGAAAGTTAAGTAGACAACTTTGTAGACCAGTTAAGTCCTCAGCATAAAGGTTGCAAAGTATAATAGGCTGAGTTGTTCCTTTGTCTTTTTCAAATAAGTGAATCTATGGTTTAATGTTTAGCCAAGTGTTTATGGGGCAGAACTTTTGAGTTTAATTGATATTTACTTTTTAAGCAGTTACACATTTCAGACAGTGCAGCATTAAGGAATGTCTAATGTACATTATGCCTTGCAAAAACAAACAAGTAAGAGAAACGAGTCAGTCACATTTTCCAAACCAAAGCAACTTACAATAACAGTGTTTTATTTATTTGAAAGTCAACCTGAGATATTTGAATTTGTAATTAGTTATAAAATGTGTCTCTTTTCAAAGTGGATATACTAAATTGGGCACACAGTTTTGAAATGTAGCTTCTTGAGTCTAATAGATATATTTTTTCTCTTAGCCACATTCACAAATGAAATGCCATTTATTAGTTTTGGGAGAGAATTTTAATGGTTACCAAAATAAGCAAAAATTCTTATATCTGTTGATCTGTTTATTATTGAAGACAAATCTCTTAACTTTCTATTTTGTTTTCTTCTCTCTTTATCTCTGTCTTTATTATCTGAAATGCTCATAAATCAGGAAAAAGGTACAGTAATCATTTTCTACTAACTTTCTTAAATGTCTAAAAACATCTTCCATGCTATTCTGTTGCAGGTTCTTTAAAACTGTTTCTTAGTCCTACCCCATGATAACTAACTTCCACTTACCTAGTTTAATTGAAGTTGGATGGTTTAGCTTAGTGTATTATCTGCTTATGTGAATGTGAAAAATAACAGGGCTACAAGATGGTGCTACTGTAGAGGCTGCACGTTGCATGAGATCAGGCAGAATAACTGCCTGGGGTGGCAAAGCAAAAGAACCAGGAACCTTCAAGGGTAGTCAGATTTTCATCTAGTTTCCCTATCACTAAGTTGAATGATTCTATCTCTAATTTGAATGACACCAATAATTTGAAAAAGACTGCTTTTTTTTCTGCTAAGAGTTTTGTTGAAGTTTTCCACAGTTTTTGCTCAGGTGTCAGTTTTCTGTGTTCCAGACACTCTCAATAAATCTGCTTTGCCCTGTAACTTTCTGGATAGGTGCTGTGTTAGCCTGCAAGGTCAGGAATTGGTGAATGATTCTATTATTCCTTTAGAAATTTCCTGCTGGTTGGACAGAGCTGCAATACTTTTCCTCTGGAGATACTTGCAAAGAAAAGGTGTTTATATAGACGGCTTATTCCTTATGGAGTGCATTTGGAATTGGTTTTAAAGCTTCTCAATGTAGGTCACTCCAGCATTTATCTTTTCCAAAGGAGGTTCTGTAAATCATTTCAGAGACTTGCTGGCATATGCTGGTTTGATCGAATCTCTACTAAATCATCTGGAAGTTGATCCTTCTCCTAGGGAGAAGCAGAACAAAGGGAACATATCTGTCCTTGTGGTAACAAGGGCATGTCATCACTCCTCCAGGGTAGAGCAACTTGTTTAAAGGACCTCACAGTCACTTCTCCCAAAGCCTGTGGGTTTTTTCCCCTTTTGTGCATCGTCTTTTTGAAACCAAGGAGATTAAAGAATGTGACACTGAGGTCACAACAAACCAGTTTTCTACCTTTGGGAAGACTCCTAAAGGACTTACTAGTCCAAGTGTGAAGGCTAAGGTAATCTTGACAGATGAGGCAAGAAAACAGAGAGAAAAGGAATGTTCTGCTTAACTAAAACTTTGTGAGCTTTGACATGCAGCTCTATTTTGCCATCACTTAAGTCAGTGGTTACTTAATAACAAGTGTCAGACTCCCTTTGTTCAACTTGGGAATTACACATTCATTTGGAAGTTGTACAGTAACAGAGAGACAGTGTTTCATTTGTTGGGAGCAGGCACAACTAAGAGGAGAACTTGGTGAGGCTTCAGTCATTGAGACTCCAGGATCAGAGGGTAAAATGGAGCATCCTTATTTATTTTTTTTTCCTGTGAGAAAAGTGTACTGGAACTGCCTGCCCAGCTCCAGATGGTTTTCCCAGGGAAGACTGCTGTGCCACACAGAAGTGGCAAATTCAGCTGGAAAGGTCTTCCCAACAAAATCAAGAACAATGGAATTTTTTTTTCTGTATTGATTTGCTCAGATGTTAATGTTTGATGCAGGTTGTTTGGTTAGGAGCTATAAAAAGAAAGATATTGCTGCTCTTATTCAAAACAGGAACTAGGTATGAAGGAAACCAAATATGTGAAACACCACAAATTTTGCTCTGCTGCATATGGAACAGTTGTTTTAAAAGCCATGTAAATCAGAACTCAAACCCAGAGTTCCTAAATTTGTAATTATACTGGGTGATCTCATGATCATTTTATCTACTGTAAAGACTAGGAAACAAGTCATAGCTCTTGAAAGCATCTCATTAGCAATTAATGCAGCCCAGTAATCAATATCCAACATGAGAGAGTATAGATGTGTCAGGGGCTTTCAGTGCTTGCACTGAGTGCAAAATCACAGCGATCAGCGTGATTCTGGTGTTTGCATCTTGTCTGGCTGCATGCAGAGAGGAGACAGGGCAAACACGGCAACAGCAAACAGAGCAGACAGCTCAGGCTTCACCCTGTCTCACAGGAAGGGCCAACCTTCAGTGCCCTGAATGCTGCCTGTGGAGATGCAGTGGGATAGGAAACCTTCTCCCTTTTCTCATGTTTGCAGAAGCCCTATGCCTGTCAGATTCCTGGCTGCTCCAAACGCTACACTGACCCCAGCTCCCTGCGCAAACACGTGAAAGCTCATTCAGCCAAAGAACAACAGGTGCGTAAGAAGGTAAGACCCGCTCGGCAAAAAGTGTCCTGTCTCCCTGACACAGTTAGTTTGGATTTACCTTTGGTAAATATATTTTCAATTATGTATTTCAAATATCTTTTAAATCAGAGTTTTTCTGTAATATCGCTAGAAGAAAACTTCAGTTGAGCTAATTTTCCTGTTGGTTTTTAATCACTATTGTTAATGAATACACTTTATAGTTATACTTTCAAGGCTACCACCCTGTAATTTCAGCTTGCCCTGCACGTTCTCTCCAAGCAGTTCTTTCCTGTTCATCTTTCATACATAAGACCAAATTCTGCTGCCCTTCACATAAAATGTCCATGCATTGAGTCCCTGCAATCACCTAGTAAATACATGTTGGCAGATAATCCAAAACACAAATGAAACTAAGACAGGATACTATGGAAATGTCAGGACAGGAGCACTTGTAATAGATGAGGCTGAAGCCCACCCCCCTTCCCACCACATCTGTATTTTAAATGTATTTATAAATCTTTCCAAACCCAGACTGCTAGTTATGTTTTTCACTGCTATTAGATTCAAATAAGTATTTGATTCCTGTGGGCTAAATCCTGAACTCATTATTAAATGGGCATGCTTAGGCACCAGCCCAGGATCAGAGAGTTGTTTGTTCCACATTTGTACACACAGTTTGTAAGAAGATGATTGTCTGTGACAGAACAGACCATGAGCACACTTCAGGCCCAGGAGTGGAGGGCAATGCAAGCCTTAGCAAGCAATTACAATTAGTTCAATAAGCAGCAATGACATCTTCCCCCAGCTGCTTCACCACTGCCAAGAGCATCTCAGATGAGACAGCAAGGCATGTTTAAAGGATGGAGGACAGAGCAGAAATGACAGCCTGGCAAGATAGAGCTAGGGAGCAGCTAATTTGGAAAAATGTCAGAGGTAAGGACTACAAGTATGGAAAGCAAAGAGAGGAGCATGAAGAGAGAACATGCAGTAGCAGAACCCAGGTCATCTTAGTTGCAGAATTTGGGATAAGCCATGGAGGAGTGAGATGGATGTCCAAAAGGCCTAATTTTCCTGCTTGAATATAACTGTGATGAATTAATACTCACTGGTCCTTGTGTCAGCCATGCCCCTTATCTTAAACCTCTTCCCTCCTGCTACTTCTCAGCATGGATTATATCCCCTATTTTTTCAGTTGGTTAGATTCACTAATTTGAACTTATGGTCCCCTTTCCTAGGGCAGTTTTCTGTCCCCCAGTTCTTCCTGGAACCCTCCTCTGTGTCAGATGCACACATCTGAGTAACACTTTCTAGAACATCAGTGTCCAGAGTTGTGCACACTATTTCAGACAGTCAGGAAACGCTCATTACACGTGGAACTTTGTGCCTGGCAATAACACTGTTCATACCTAGCACCCATCCAGGTGTCCACAGAATCAAGTTGTTGTCTCTGCACCCATCAGGTCCAGTCAGAACTCCTACTTAGCCTGCCGGGACTGGAAAGGACCACCTAGTTATCAACCCTAATTTTGTATTATCAGGCCACATGGTTTAACTACAGCTATCTAGAAGGTTCCACACAGTGTGCTGTGCACACTCCTCCCACACCACAGGTCACAAAATTCCCAGTGCTTCCCTAGAACAAAATTTAGGTCTTAATGAGAGTCAGAAAGCCACAGCAGTAATTGGCCACAGACAGGGGTCGACTGTGGCACCAGTGTCTTTTGCAACAGCAAGATCTTTGCAACAGATTTTGTTATATGGAATTCTCAGCTGATTGTGGAAAGCAACCATGCTCCCTATTCCAAAGGAGAGAACCTCCCCCACACCTTTCCTTCCTGTGATTGCTGACATACTTCTTGGGGGAAGGAAGGAGGGAAATATTTTATTTCCTAATACCAAACACGGGTGTAATTTGTTCAGCTCTGAACAGAATGCATTAACATGTTAACATCCTTTACATCTGGAGAAAGGAACAGTCCCCACAGTTACACCCTGTCACCTGCTGAGGCCTATTTCCAGTTCTATGAAGGAAGGTGAGAGAAAAACCTAAATCCAAACATTGCATTAAAGGACAGAAGGTAATTCCTACATAAGCAGCAGAAGGCCTTAAGCACAGAACCAATACGGGACAAATGCAGTACACACAAATGGCAAACTCAAGCTGCTTGGTTGTACCAAGATATCAAATATCCAGGGTTTCCTATCTCTTAGTCTTCCAGCTTGAGGAATGTTCCCCCATTTACATACCCTCCAATAGACTTATTGAGGCTATCTTAAAATAATATTAATTCCTTGCCTCCCACACCTGATTTATTAGACCAATCAAATCTGCACCCCTCCAGTGGTCTGAAATCATCTTCAGATTCCCTATCTTGTTTATCCATGATAACTTTATGAATACTTGATCCTCTGTCTCTTTTCCTTGCATCTGAAAAAGCAGCAGATTTAAAATGCCTTTTAATCAGGCTCTCTCAAAAGGCACCAAGGCAAATCTGACTCTTAAATAAATAACAGCCCCTACCCCCAAAATATTTCACTTGAACTTATTCTAGGAAAAAAACCAAACCCTTTCACAACTGAGTAAATCTCAGTGTCTGACAGTCTAGTTTGGAATAAAAAGGGAAAAGACTGATCACACTCACTTGCTCATTTTTGGTTATAACTCTGCAAAGGCAGTTGTCTGTTGGTATCAGCTTCCCAGGAGTTCTGAATAGAAATGACTTAGCCAAGGAAGAAAAATCAACAGGCTGCTCTGCCCTCCTGTCCTGATTGAGCTATGCTACCAAAATGTGCCATCTCTGATAGAAAATAAAATGCCCTGAGCTTAAACTGACATCAAAGGAATCCTGAGTATTTGGTTCATAGCCTAGAAGATGACTGTGGTGGTAATATTTGGTTGTTCTGAAAGGCTTTACAAGAGCAAAAGAGGAGAAAGTTAGCTGTTAATTTAGTAGTAGTTTAATTGGCTGCAGATGGACTGTGTGATCCAAATGTTAGATGTTTATCTTGAACCAACAAATGGCTGTACAGCAGAATTCCAAATAGGTTTGCCTGCACCTTTTATTTGGAATAACCAAACCCAGGGGAGATTGGTATGCAAAGCTTTAAATGTAAAGACAATGACTATGGGTTAATGGCTATAGAATAGGATGGCTGCTTGTGTAATGTGAGCACCATATTATGACAAAAGCTTGGCAACATCAGCGTGTTTGAAAGAGAATTAGAAATGCTTTTCTTTCTTAATTCTCCTCTCCTGCTGTTTTTAATATGATCGACATTGTGGTTTTCAAGAGTTTGCTTCAGACACTTTTGCCAGAGCTTTAATTTACGTGGAGAACAGCTGACATATTGGTGAGACCTCTTACATGTTCCTGACAGCCTATTATTCCACCAGATCTAATCTGATAAGCACAAATGCTTTTCTTCCCCTATCAAATGTCTTTCCAAGTGTCACAGCTACAAGGTGATGCAATCCTTTTGCCACAGAACCTCAGAAACTACAGAAGGTCTGAAAAGATGCAGTAAAATTACTCAGGAAGGTTTGAAGAAACACAGGATACATTATTTTCTGAAGCAAACTTTTGTTAATTTAAGACTAGCACATGTAACTTGTGTGCTTCAAAAAAGCAAAATAATCTCTAAAGAACCAAGTAATAAATACATGCTTAATGACACCTAAGAATGACATTTTGTTCCTTCCTTCTATACATAATCTTTAAGCAAAGAGACATACGAATTTAAATGGAAGTAATTTAATAAAATGTTTGTTTTATCCTCCTCTTGTAGCTAAATTCATGTACTGATATCGAACAGGATGTACTAAGTGAATGCTTAGCTATACAACAGCTCCACACATCTTCACAACACATTTTGGATGGGAAATGTGGTAGATCTGTAGGTCATCATGATTTAATTACAGGTAAGAACATTTCTAATAAGTATGATGCTAAATGTGACATACAATACAGGAATTAAAACAGAAAAGCTTATTGGTCTGATTTGCCACTGTGGAAGATGAAAAAAAACACAAACCAACCCCAGCCAATAATTTCATGAGTTGGTCTGACTTTTTTTTTTTTTCAGAGGTAGTCAGACAAAGAGCTCCTATTAATTTCATGTGGAGGGGGCATTTTTTTGAAAATCAGCCTCTGTGCTTGTGTCCTCTTTTTAAAAGTTTGCCTTGGCTCCAGGAGAATGCAGGTGCATGAGCTTTGCTGAAGCCCAACGAGCACTGCAGCAAAGACAAAGGCACAGGGCAAGAGGGTTCTCCAGCTCTTCAGGAGCCACAGAGAAGCTGATGAGGGTGTCTGTTACCATGCACTGTGTGATTATAACAAATATCATATGGTCATGGATGAATGGAGCAAAAGCTTGAATTTCAAATATCTAAGATTGTTTTAATTATATTTTCTAGTATTTAATCTTTCTTTCATTCTTTCTTTTCTGTCCTTTCTTTCCTGTGGTTTGAACAAGAGCTGGCCCCTTTGGGGGACCTTAGACTATTCCTATACCTTTTATAGGAAGAAAAAAAGATCCTTCATTCACTTCTGAAAATAAGATCTAGATTCACAGCTTTTGAACCTCAGCAGAGGATCCTGAATCAGGCATGGAACAATCTCAGGTTCTTTGTTTAGGCAGCAGAGAGAAAGTGGAGCTCTGAGAGGTCATCAGTGTAACTGCAGCCTCCCTCATCCTGTGAGGCACCCAGATCCCTCCTCTGATTGTAGAGTTTAGAGCAGGGAACCTTCCACTTGGCCGTTCTCACTCTCAAATCTCTTTCTGTCCATGTAACTATTTAGCCTTTTTTCTAATTCACATATTTATTCTTGGCTTCAGCAACATCACATATCAGTAAGCTACAAAGCCTTTTTGAAAAAGTACTTGCCTTGATTAACTTTGCATGTGCAACTTTCAGATAATGTTCAATGAGAATAATATGCACATAGATTCTTACTTGGTCTGCTTTGGTGGAACCTGCTTTTGAAGAGCAATTCTTGTTATTGCCTTTGAAATTCCTCTAACTCTGTAATGCCCATTCTGGGATAGGACAATCAATACTATGCACAAAATTCCAGATTATGCCATTCACTGGATTTATAGGCCATCATTGTCTCATTTTCTTGTGTTATTCTCTGTCATGTCCCATATACATCCCAATAGCTGACTCATTTTTTAATGGCAGCTGCATATTAGGAATGGGATGGATATATAGCAACATAAAACATTATTCCTTATATCTAATATGAATCTCCAATCTTTTATTTTAAAACCATTATCCTGTGTCCTATCTTTACAGACCCTGCTAAGAAATCTGTCCCCATCTTATAAGTCTGTCCCCAACTTCCTTTACATATTGAAAAGTCACTAAAAAGTCTCCCTGGGGCCTTCTCTTCTCCAGGCTGAACAACATCAGCTCTCTCAGCCTTTCCTCATTGGAGGAAGTCTTTGGACTACAGAGCAGAGCCAAGTGACACAAAAAGGCAGGGCTTCCATTTTTTAAGACTTTATTTCCAAACTTAGTCAATATTAGAAAACGTTACGTGCTATTAAAATCCAAAATTATTCATAAAATGATGAAGATTAGATCTTAATTAATCTGTTTTGATTTAGGATGCACTTTATCCCCTTTCAGTTCCACTGTGGAGAAGCTTGACTTCGTATTAGTAAAAATGTTTTAAATTGATTAAGTAACTGAGTTTGAGCTTTCCAGACAAACTTCTTTCTGTTGAGGCTTAGAAAAATCCAATGGTAAACTGGGATTAGAAAACAAAAATGCCTGGTGCTTGTTCCCCTGCACCAAAGGAAGAGCTGTTGCATTTTATTGATAAATTTTGCTTTGTAAGAGCAAAGTAATACATGGCTAAATATTACTTAGGCAAGTAATTTTAAAACAAAAAAGTAGATCCTGCTTGGTATCTCCTGTTCTTCTTTCTAGTTCAAGTTGTACTGTGATGTTGGACTGTAACCAGTGAACAGAGTAGAAAGGGAAATAACCCATCATTCTAGCACTGTTCCTGTGGGAGTGTGGGGTGCTCTATATGTGGCTCCACGAAAAGTGGCAGAAAGCTGGAGGGACTTGAGGGGATTATTTCCATTCTCAGTCTGCATCCCTACCCTCTAAGATCTGTGAGCTCATGGCCTCTGCTCTCCACCCTTGTCTGTGTGGTGTAGCTGAAGCTTGGCTTGGCCTCTCTTTTCCAGGCAGGACAGGAAAGGCCAGTGACATTTCCCTCAGAACAGGCTGCACTTCAGAAGTAGCCTTGGATTTCAAGTGAGAAACAATAGAACAGGGAAAGTTATTACGTTATTACCTTACAGATAAACAGACCATCCCTAAGCTCCCAGTGTCATTTCTGAGAACCTCTTGTGAAATTAAGGATTTTATCTGTCAATAATACTGGCTTCCTCTGATACGATTTCTTTGCTGATTATATCAATCCATCACCAGGATGCTGCAAAAAACCTAGTAAATCTTCCCTGATCCATCCATTGGGTCACCCCATATGAGACCCCATCACATGCACAGCATGAAAAAATGCAGGGAAAATAAATCAAGATTTGAAAGACTGTTTTACAGTGAAATAGCAGTTGCTTCATACTATGTGCAGTACAATTCCACAGGCAAAACTGTTCCTCTGTCATTATGTAAGGAATATAAGCTGATCCTCACAGAACTGAAGCTTAAGGACACTCCTACTGCCACTCATAGCATGCAACTCAGTTCAAAAAGGACAGGGAACTGCTCGAAAGAGTCCAGCGCAGAGCTATGAAGATGATTAAGGGAGTGGAACATCTCCCTTATGAGGAAAGGCTGAGGGAGCTGGGTCTCTTTAGCTTGGAGAAAAGGAGACTGAGGGGTGACCTCATCAATGTTTACAAATATGTAAGGGGTGAGTGTCACGGGGACGGAGTCAGGCTTTTCTCAGTGATGACCAGTGATAGGACAAGGGGTAATGGGTGTAAATTGGAGCATAGGAGGTTCAAGGTGAATATCCGAAAAAAATTTTTTACTGTAAGAGTGACAGAGCACTGGAACAGACTGCCCAGGGAGGTTGTGGAGTCTCCCTCACTGGAGACATTCAAAACCCACCTGGATGAGTTCCTGTGTGATGTACTCTAGGTGACCCTGCTCTGGCAGGGGGGTTGGACTAGATGATCTCTCGAGGTCCCTTCCAGCCCCTAAGATTCTATGATTCTATGATTCAATGATTGCACGGCTGCTCTTTCAGAGAAGCAGGGATAATAGAACAGTTGTAGAGAAATCAGCTCTAATACTCTCTATAGTATATATATGGGTAAATGCAGTATATGATGTTCTCTTGATTCCACTTGAAAATATGAAAATGTTCATGGTTTGGGTTTTTGTTTTGAGTTTGGAGGTCTTTTTCCCTTTTTCTTTTTTTTTTTTTTTCTTCAGAGAAACCACATTATTAATGTGCAGAGCTCTGGGCTTTAGGGATCACTTGGATTCCTGGAGAATTTCAGTTTTGTCTTTCTCCAACTTAAAGCACATTTTAAATATGTCAGGGATGAAAGCCAATCACAGGAAAAAAAATGAAATATTAAAAAAGCTCCCATTCCTTGTGTCCAACTTCAAAGCAGGTTTGTGCTTAGGGCTGAGTAAAACAGTGAGCAAAAGAATGTTTTGCAGTCAGAGGAACCCATTGTTTGCTTAGACCTTCCTCCTTTTTCCCTCCTCATAACTAAGCTGCTTCTTGGCTGCGCACATTCAACCCTAGCTGTGCCCTCCCTGCAAAGGAAGTGTCTCTATGTAGGCAATTCCACTCTGGGCATGTCTTTTTACTGTTTTTCTGGTCTCAGCATAAAGCTGGGGTAAAGAAAAGCTGCTAGGCACAGACGCTCAGAGAACTGATGTGGCAACAGATGTTAAGGTTAAAGGCTAAGCCATTTAAAATATTGATTGATGACATACAGTTACAAGCTAAGATGGTCAACACCTGAAGAGGCCCAAGGTGCACAGTCCCAAAGTGGGTTGCACTTACAACAGCTCCAAAGGCTTCTGTGTGACTGCAGGTACTCAGAATATTACAGCCCACTGCTGGAAAAAGGGAGGAAAAACTGTAAAAGAAGTTAAATTTTAGAACTATTGAAAATTATACTGAGTCTGGAATCATGACTGCTCGTCCCCGCTTTGACTTCTTCTATTGTAGAAGTTTTCCTGAGAAAAGGGAGTCACACAGCAAAGACCCTATTTCTGTCCCCTCAAGCAACTGTTCCTTTCTGTTCCCCTTGTATCAGCAGATACCTCCTTCTTCCCTGAACAAGGCAGTTCCATGCCACTGCCAATATTTCCTTCTAAAAGCACCATCTTTGGGCTTAACACCCATTAGGTAGCCATGGAATCAGTGACAGCAGCTCCAGACTTTTGAGCGTCTTAAGTCTGGAAGAAATATACACATCTCAAAAGTTTTTACAGTCAAAGTGATTCCAGTAGCAGCATAAGTGGTTGACAGCACTGAGTGCCTAGCAGAGTGCACCCTGCACAGAGCCTGTGACCAAAGAAAGTTCTGTCCCCCTGAAGGAAGTCAAGTTAATTTTCTGTTGGATAGTGCCCTTGTTTTGCACTGTTTAAGATAAATAACTTTTAACTTTAATAAGTACCAATTTGGTTCTTAGTGACTCAACAGAAGTGACTAATGTCTCACTGCAGGCTCCCATGGAATCTCGTAGTAAATCCCATCTTCCATTGTGTGTGCCACATGGCCCTCAAAGAGCTCTTAATTACAGGCAGACACCCCATGCAAGTGAAGCAAGTGAACAACAGGCTCCGTTCTTTGTCTGCCTTGGCTTGTGTTTTGGCTTTCTCACTATCCAGAAGCTTCAAGGGCAGATGCAGCTCTCATCCAAAGGCTGGGCTGTGCAGTCTCCAAACCTCACCACCACCTTGCAGCTCCCCCATTCCTCCCACTTGCCCTGTGTCTGGACACATTTGGGCTCTGGGTTTCATCTCAATTCCTTAGGAACCAAGGCTTGTGTAAGCATTTTGCTCACCTCTGTCCATGTGTGTCAGTCTCCTTTCTCACAGTAGTCTTCAAAAACCCATTAGCCAAGCTCAACCACAGGTGGCAGAGGCCTCAGAGGCAAGTTTCTCTGCCTTCTGACAAGCTTCATGAGCACTGCAGAGGGGAAGGGAGGTGGGGAAGGTGAGGGCAAGAGACACCATGTGTCAAACTGAGCAGGAGTGAGGGAGTTGTGGTAAATAAAGATAGAGGAGGAGGAGGTCACTGAGGAATGAACCCTACAAGCCATATACATGGTCATAGCAGGGACCTGTTCCAGAGAAGGTGTGATCAGTAAGTCAAGAGATGGATAAGCTCAGAGTAGACAGAAGAAGCCAAACATTATCTAGGAGAGGAGGTCCACAGCTAGACAACTCTTTAAGCCCAATGGTAGGTAATGAGTGTCCTGCCTAGTAGTTCCACAGATGGGCAAACTCCTCTGCATACTGGTTGGGTATGACAAATATTTGGGATGACAGGGATTCCGGTTTAATTTGGTTTTCTAATAGGATGTGTTTGAGGGCATAGGATCATGCAGGAATTTGCTCTTGGATATATGGATGTGTAGGGTGGTTTTGTTAACATCTTTCTTATCTAGAGGGGTGTGCTGATTGTAGGTGCTCTCCTGCTCTTTGTCATCCACCTCAAGCAAAGAACTGAACTATCCTCAGTACCTGAGACAGTAACGAAGGAGCCAGGAGAGACCTCTTAAACATTCATAAACTGTTCAGTGGTGGGATTGAAAGATCAAACATTTGAGTGTGTTTACTCACCACCACACTGCTAAAACTGCCTTTCAAGGGTTTCTAGCTTTTGGGTGAGTTACTGACAGGGACTAGTAATAGTCTGCCAGCCTTAGAGAGCTCTTTAGGTTCCCAGGCTGTGCTGCTGATACACCTGAACTGCGTGGTGTAGGAAATACAGCTGAAGTGTGAAATGACACTGTAGAGTCAAGGTCAAATTGGTATTTGGCTCATCTTCCAAGCCTGATCATGAATGTATGAACAGTAAGGATTTGGGGGAAATGTAAACTATTGTGTTATCAAATGGACTGAAGCCACCAGTAGAAAAAATTACATTTTCACCATGCAGCATCCTATTTACTGACTTCCTGTTATCAGAAGAGGCTTTGACAAGTAAATCCTACCATCACCTGGGAACATCTGACTTCTTAAAGCCCCTTCTGTCTGGCTTTCAGTGCAGAAAACAATTGGTTTCACTAGCTGGTTGACAAATGTTCTGTCTAGCAGGATACAGAGATGATGTGGTTCAGTTTTGTTGCTTTAGATCTGTCAACAGCTGAGGACTCATTGTTCATGAGAGGTTTTTGACTCATCTGAAGTCCCTGACAAAGGTGGCTGGAATCTTGCCTTAGTGGTTCTGTTCTTCAGTCACACAGAAATGGATGTTGACATTGAGCCATTGCTTTTCCACCCAAAGGGCTGTCACACATTCCCTACAGCTTGATTTTCATGTTGCCCTTGTTCCATGTCACTGCGAGGGTTTGGGAGGAGCACCACACAGAACCCTGTCAGTGAATGGGACAGAGCCAAGCTTAGCTGACACACAGCTCTGTCTTCCTGAATGAGGAAGGATGAATGCTACAGGAGGAGAGAAGGCAAAGAAAACCAGGCCTCAGGGGGGGTGTGGGGTCTTCTGTGCTGTATAGCTGGACACTGGGAACTGGCAGACTTCATTTGCTCCCCACAGCTTTCAGCATACTATGTGCGTGGCTGCTCTGGTCCTCTGTGTGCAGATTCCCTGGTAAGCATGCCCTGGTGGGCCAGAACTCTGGGAGATGTGTAGCAGGCAAACTTTAGGAAGAGGAGGAAGAGGGCAGAGACGCTGAGAAAGGGACTAGACTTTTCCAATAGCTGCACCTACTAGCAGCCATCCCTCTTTTCCCCCTGCCAAAGGGTGGTGTTTGTAACACCAGACAGCCAGTACTTCTGCTGCCTCCCCTTATCAGACACCTGCCCACCATGCAGCCTTCTCACCAGAAGTCAGTGTCAAGGCCCTAAGCCCAGACTGCCTTAGTGCATGACTTACTCTTTAGAAGGGAGACTATATAGGAAAAAAAAACAACCCTACTCCTAGCATCATAATCCAAGAGTCCTGGACAAAGCTTCCTTAACAAAGTATGTGCTTGAGGGTATGAGAGACACTTGGCTATTGCTGCCTGCCTGCCGTGGTAGAGGAGAGTAGCCAAAGTCCTCCAAAAAATGGAACATCCACACTCCTTCAGTATCTCTGTGTACTTGTAAATCTATTGTTTTCATGTTCTCATTAAAAATTTCTCCTCGCTTTTCTCTGCATTTCATGTATTGGGGTTTCATTTGCATCAATATGTGGTATTTTAAATGGTCCAGGATGTCCAGGAATAGACTAATTGAAAGTAAAATTAAAATGTTTGAAATGAGCAACGACATGGGCTGCTGTGTGTCTTGGGGTTGGATGGGGGATAGGGAAGGAGCTGAGGATTTTCAAGCACTTGTCTGGGGAAGGAGCTGGGGATTTTCAAGTAATTATTTGGATGCTTCTTTCCTTACTTTAGTTTGCAAAATGGTGTGTGTCCACAGGCATGTACAGTGGCTCCAGCTCTAACCACAACGGTCCCTCACCAGGTATGTTGCCGCCTCCTCACGACATCCCTTCAAGACACCATCCACTTGACTCCACCCTCTCCAGTCCACATCACCACCAGTCGCCGTTGGAGAGTGCCAGGGAAGGGTGAGTGTGTGAAACATGCTTGGCCTCTGTCTGCCTTGATAATGAATGATTAATTGTTTATTTTACTTCGCGATGATGCTGTTCAAATGGAAAACAGTGGCCCAACCTAAGCAATTTTGCTTGTTTTAGAATCTTAGAACAATTTAGTTTGAAGGGACCTTAGAAGCTTGTGTCGTCCATCCCCTGTGCTAAGCAGGACAAACTTTGACATTACTATCTAGTTGCTCAGGGCCTTTGCTTTCAACAAAACATGCTGAGATTTGTTTTCTTCATAACATGCAATTGCAGTTAGTTTATTTTTTTAATTCTTCCTTGCTGACTTCTTGTAGGCTTGGATAAGTGCAGAGAACTTTTCTCAGCTTAAAAACCCAAACTGTGACTCACTGAGGAACAGGGCAGTCTTTGCCTTAGTAAGACTGACTTTAGTGTCAGAGCAGCAAGCTTGCTCACTTCCTTGCTCTCTGTAAGCTTTTCTGTAATCATCCCTCAGCAGCAGGCACTCACCAGGAAGATCCTAATCAGGGAAGAGTGTATTATCTCACTGATGTATGCATCACACTGCTGTAGCCTGGATCACATTGCATTACTACAGTATCTGCTCTTTCTAAAGCACTGTTTGCTCAAGGATCTTATAACATCTTCTCAACAGTAAAGAATCTCTGTAAGCCACAAAATTCTGCTCTAATCTTTTTGCTCAGATTTATTTTTTTTTTTTGTGCCTAGACTCATCAAACTTACAGTTCTTCTTCCCAACACTTTGGACAGGGAAGGATCTGTGATTTTGCTTTACTGATGAAAACCTGGGACACAGAGAGATTAAGAGATTTTTTTATTATTTTTTTTTTTGCTAAAAATATGTTTGGGTTCTTCAGCAAATACAGCAATTGAACATACAGTTTTTCCATCCCAGTCCAGTGACTGACCCATCTCTTCTTTTTTATGGGAAAAGGAAAGCCCAGAAAGTTTTGAATTGAGTGCTTTAAGCAAAGGGCAGAAGGTGACAGAGTGCATGTGCTGTGGGAAGGGCACAGCAAGGAAAATTATACCTGGCGTAGCTGAAGAATAATCTGTTTGAGGAAATTCAATTAGGAACAAATTAGTCCTTTTTTAAAAAAATATATATTGGGGAATGAGAGCTGTAGCAAGGTTAGCTTCTGTACCCAGTTCCTCTTACAGCCATCTCTTCTGAGAT